AAAATATCACTGTTCCTTTTCGCAATTGCAGCCTTCAGTTCACAGTTTTACAGTAGTCACTACAGTCAACTGTACATTGCCTTGAGTGGTGCCATCAAACTTGCCCGAGTGACTCGAAATCGACTCAGAGAGGCACATTTAGTAAGGAGAATCACTCTGACAGTAATCGAACACACTGCCATGAGTAGAATTATTATCTTTGTGAATGACCACCTCTGGTCATCGATTCTCTTTGTGATGACCTTCAGTCAGGTGCCGGGTAATATTTACATGATATACCGTATTCTCCTCGATCCACTGCTCAACGGCTGGAAGGGCGTCCTCACGTGGACCATCATGCTCAATCAGTTTGGCATGCTGATGAGCGGCCTGTGTCTGGTGGCCCACTACAGCAAGGTCATCTTTGATGGTCACCGGTTGTTTACGCCTGCTCAACAGTTGCTAGGCAGCAGTCATTTGACTTTGAAAATGAAGTGCTGCTCAACATATGAACGAGTGAGCAGCAAACACATTGGCGTCAGCATTGGGCCAACCGGAACGGTCACTTACAGGGTTATTTTTCAAGTAGGTTTTCAATGTTGTCATATAAAGTTAATTTTACAAATGAAAACATTTTCAGATTGTTACTCTTTATTTTGCCTACATTCTGTACCTTTTCAGTATAATTATTTGAGCAGGTTCTCTACATTTTCTCTTTTATTAGTTGTCGTCCAGTCTTTGCAATGAGCAATCTAATCTTAAAGTCAATAAACACAAACTGCCTTGTCTCGTCGTCCTGAGCGTAAAGCTCAGCCAAGTCAATGTCAATTCAAGCGAAATTAGGCCGCCTTATTTACCACCTTCAAAATCCTGTCAGACAATGTGAATGAAAAAGGAGCAAGTCCTTACCCTTATCAGAGACCCAACAACTGCCCTTAACTTTCTATCTCCCTATCTCCTTCAACTAAATTGTTGTTTTCATTTACCAATTAATAAACTAAAAAGCAAAAGTTGCACAAAACTGACACTGAGTTTTACAGCTGCCCGCACTCATAAACTGTGTTAGCAAAATTTGTTGCGCGCTTTATATATAGCAGTCCGCTCTGAGGGTCAGATTACCCCTGACGATTTTCTCAGAAGTGGAGCAGATTAACTCTCACAGACACCTAAAAATGCTTAAACTGACTCCTCTTCTTCTAGCAGTCCTGGTTTGTGCCGGTGTAGCACTCGCTAAACGTAATGTGAAAACTATTACCACTGTCACACCAACTTCTAACACAACACTTTGACACTTTTTTACCAAACTAAAACACGCAGAATGCGGCGAGAAGCCAGCCGGCGGTCGCATTGTGGGCGGCTCAAATGCAACGCTGAACCAGATTCCCTGGCAAGTATCATGGCGTTTCTTCAACCAGACCACCAACACTCATCGCCACATTTGCGGCGCCTCCATCATCGCCGACAAGTGGCTGCTCACTGCGGCTCACTGCGTCGACGTCGTCAAGCCACTGGAGGAGAAAAACTTCCGTGCCTACGTGGGGCTGCTCTCGCAGAGTGCCCCTGACTCCAACAGCAAGCTGATGACCATCAAGAAGATCACCATGCACTCGGGCTGGGACTCACAGCAGATCATCAACGACGTGGCCGTCGTCGAGCTGGACGAGCCCATTGGCCTGGAGAGCTCCAACCTCAACGCCATCTGCTTGGGCAGGCCCACCGACAATGTCGAGGGAAAGATGTCGGTCATCTCTGGCTGGGGCCTAGAGGTGCACGGTGGCAGTCAGATTCCTGACAGGCTAAAGTTTGCCACAGTGCCGGTGGAGAAGCAATCAGACTGCAAGAGAATCTACAGTTTTATCAAGCCGCTGACCGACGGAGAAGTTTGCGCTGGAAAGAACCCAGGTGTAAGTAAATCAACAGAACTTCTTCTTTTTATATATTTTGTCTAACATTATGAAATTTAATTTTTGTAAATTCAGGGATGTAATGGTGACAGGTAAGAGTTTTTACAGCAATCTGTTTCTAGCAGTAAGTTAACGACCGCATATGCATCATTTTCAGTGGTGGTCCTCTTCAGTATGAGCAAGACGGACGGTGGTATCTTCTTGGTGCCGCTTCC